TTGGTGATTCCACAATAAACTACTATCATTATCTTCATAATCATCGTTAGTTATCACATTTCTTAATCAATGCCTTCACAAAGTTATCAACGTCATCATCATCATCATTCTTCTCAATCATCTCAATCATCATACTCATTCTTGAATATAACAAAATTATTTTCTCAGCATGATGATCACTTAATCACTTATCACTCTAATAATTTCAACTCCATAACAAACACAAAAATCAGAAATGAGCCCAACAGACCCAGACATAAGCACACACAAAAGTACACACACGAACAAAAGATGCAAGCCCACACAGAGAGAAAGAGAGAGAGAGAGAGTGAGAGAGAGAGGAGATAGAGAAACACAGACACTCACCACGTTATCTCCATCATCACAGGAATTCCTCCTTCTCTCTCTGCCGGTCGACAATCTATCTTTGCAGTAGGTCCTCCACTTTTGATACTCATTCGTCAGGCACTCCTGTCTACGCTTCCAATACTTGCCTTCCAACACCACTGCCTGGTTTAAAAATATCATTTATTATTATTATTATTATTATCATTATTATTATCATTAACTATTAATAATAGTAGGAATAATAAAAATATTATAATAATAATCATTATTACTGTTTTTTATTCATTTTGATTTTATTACTTAACATCAATTAATTTGATAAAACAAGAGTACAAATCATAAATCTTCTCAATAAATTCAACCTTAAAAGCAATTAGTACAAGAGGCAATAATAAATTAGCCAATTTATTTAAAATAAATAACGATCTATCAAGTTTATTGCAGCCAATAAAATGCAAAGCCAAATAAATAAAATTTTACGCGCGCGTGTGTGTGTGTGTGAATGAATGAATGAATGAACCAGAGAAAGAATGAATATGACAGCTGAAGAGGGTAATAATAAGAACGCAATATGTTATTTTGAAGCTTGTTTTTGAACCAAAGTGAGAAAAGAAATAGTTAAAACATGCACTAAATAAAATATTTGAATGGAGGAGTGTAAAACATATAGATGCACAATTTAGTTAATTACTTCTTTATAAATCATTCATTAACTATAATTTTCTCTGTAATCACATCATATCTTCATTTTAAATTATTCTAAAGTTGATCATGACAATTTTTTTTAAATATCGCTGAAGTAACGCAGAAAACTGAAGTGGTGGTTATTAATAGATTTGAGGTTAGTCAACCCTCTTCGGCCATCAAAAGCTGATCTTAAAATCCGCTAAAAACTCATGGTTATTTCCATTGGCGGAAATAAATGAATAAATATGAAAAGATGTTTTTTCCCTCTATCTACTGCAATACCTATTCATATACAGAAGTTCTGATAAATGAATCCTACATGATTAATTCCACCCATCATATTTTTTTTTACTAGCAAACTCCTGCTCGTTTCTATTTCTTGTGACTGATCCCATCCTTCAAAACTGTTACATCCATCCAATTTCATTTCAAGTTATTAGCAATGAATAAATGCCATGTAGATCTCTTCCTTGTTTCATAGTTTAAACGAAGACTTTTATTTAACCTACTGTAAATGTATTGTAAATATAAATAAAATCCTTAATTTAACAGAGATTGAAAAAGGATTTGTAAAAAAATTTATAGTAAATATTAAAAAATTCCTACCTGACTCCGCGAAAATGACAGTCTTAAAGAAGAAGACTAAATTCCACAACATTAAATTCATTTTTAAACCATAATAAATTAAAGTGAGACAGCCGACCTTAACACTATAAAGCAGAGAAAGATTATCAGATAAGTTTGAAGCCATTAAATTGACAAAAAAACGATATCTACAATTACAAAAAACTGAGGTTGATGTACTTTAGCTACTTCAGTTTTTTTTAGTAAGCCAGTTAAATCTGGAATGGACAAAAAAGGGAAGAATGAAATGATAGGCGGTTGTGGTGAAGATATATAAAAAAAAACTGTGTCAAAACAAAAAAATGCCACTGTGCAGTTTTAAAAAAGGTGTCAGGGTTTAGGAAACGATTACAATTGTTTAAAAACTTGATAGATAACATTTAAATAGTATTTCTTTCTCCTTCTCTTCCTCTCTCTCTTTCTCCATCTCTTTTTCTTTCTTCCTTTCTCTCTTTATATATGTAATCTCCACAATAAAAATAAATATACTTACAACAGGCATACTATTTAGTAGAGAATCAAAACAAAAAATATCAAAACAAATGAATGAATGAGTGAATGAATGAATGAACGAACAAAGAAAGAACGAATGAATGAATGAATGGTAGATGGGAGATGCTGTCACTAAGAAATTTAATTTAAAAACATGTGCTGATAGATAATAATAAATAACCGAGGCGATTCTATCATGATGACCTTGACATTTATCAAAATTTTATCTGATGAATCTATGAGTGAACTACACACAAGCATCTAGATACAAAAAGATAAACACGCACACACAAATATAAACACACACACACATTTATATACATGCACTTATTTTGTATGAAAAACCGTCTATAACAATTGCAAACTATTTATAATAAATTAAATTTTTAAAATTCCTTGGAAAAAAATAAGGTTAAGAAGATATAGAAGCCTACATACTGACACATCCATCCACCCATCCCTTAAGATTTGCACCAAATAAAACCACTTTCAATTTGAAACTTAAAAAAGGTCATTACTCTGTTTTTTACTTGCATACACACACACATGCACCCATCTACAGAAGAGATGCATGATTCTGTCTAACTGAAGAACTAAAAATAGAAGAAATGGCTTGGTGAGATAGGTCTGATACATTCATTATCTATGTAATATAATTGTACACCTACTAACTATGCTTATCTAGATAGTAACTTTTTAATGAATACAAAAAGGTGTATGACCAGTCAAATTGCATGTCATTTGACATTTGATACAGAGATAGATAGATAGATAGAGAAAGAGAGAGAGAGAGAGAGAGGGAGAGAAAGAGAGAGAGAGAGAAAGTAAGATGTAGAGTGAGAGAGGGAGAACGAGAATGACTTTATAATGTTACATGATGATGTTATGTTCTACATAAATTTTATCCTAAACCTTTAAAATGAAAACGGTCGAGTAGTGGTTAGTGTCAGTTCACCTTCAAAGAAGAAGAAAGAAATAAAAAGTTAATAATAAATTGAAAATTCTTTGAGGATGAACTGGTGATAAAGAAAGGAAAGTTAATAATAATAATACTAACAACAACAACGATATTAACAATAACAATGTAAATAATAGCAAATTAACAAACCAATGCATGCAAATATTTTAATTAATTAGCACAGTTCTTGAAAAAAGGTCACTCTTTTGCCCAAAAGCCATAAACTTCCAAGCAATAGCAGCAATATCAATGTTAAAGATAGAGAGAGCAAATGACATTAACAACAAAAGCAGCATTAATGAAAAATGAAAACAGCAAACAAACAAACAAACAAACAAACGAACGAACAAACAAACATACAAATACAACGCCGACGACATCATCAATGATGACAACCGACAACAACAAATCTACCTCAGGCTTGCAATGTGTACACTCAAAGTCAGGAGCCTCAAACTGACACACAGTTGGCTTCTGCTTTCTGATATCTGAAGAAAAATATGGTCATAATAATAATTATAATCATAATAATATTAATAATTATAAGACGATTATGAAGATAATCAATAAATTTAAATTTTAAGTGTATTCACCACACGAGAACAATAAAATGTTTAAAAAAGTTTAATTTCTTACGTCAGTATCGCTTCTCGCAAGCAGCATTTGTTGTACTTTATCTGGGTTTAAACTTCATTCTCAATTACAACTTCAACCGCCAAAAAACGGCTTTCTTAACTTTAAAACTGCTACCACCACAGTTGAAACCGCAACCACCCAAATAATAGGCAGCAATTGAACCAAACCCCAAATTTCGAAGCCAGCCAGACAAAAAAAATGCAAGAAGTTAAAAAGTTGTTATTTAGTTCTTGTTTGTTTATGTTTATATAAAAAAAACTTGCTTAAATTAAAACTCGAGAGAAATATGCAAATAAATGCTAATAAAGTAGGTTCATCACCGTGTTTTCAACAAGTGTTAAACAGTGAGGAGGTCGATTCAAATGAATGATGGTGCATTGTATTCCAATTATGTACTTGCTCAACTTTTACTAACTAATTTGCATTCGTTGTACACAAACAGAAACCAATTTATAAATAGGTATGTATGTGTATGTATGTGTGTCCGTGTGCATATGTGTCGTGTATGTATAACTGTTTCTAAACTAACATTTTATCTGTTTGATCTATATATTTTTTACTCAAGCTTTCAACAGCAAATTTTGTTGTTACCATTCGGAGGGTGGGGGAAACTATACTGCAGATAAAAGAAAGTATGATATAACATAACCATCGCATAATAATCACCTTTGATATTTTAACGTACATTAGTGCTATATAAATACAATTATATTGTCACATAACTGTTGATGTTTTTGTAACCCAACTTAGATAAAAAGAGAACAAATGTGAGTAAAAAGTTCTCATAAGAAGACAAGCTGCTGCTCGGTGCAAAATAAAAAAAAAACTAATTGATTGCAACCATCTAACATTGTAGCATGATCAATACAGTCATCATGCATTTCAACTGGAATGACAAAATATATGCTAGCAGTCAATATATACACATGTTTTTGTATTCTTTTTACATTTTGTTTGTTTGTGTGTGTGTGTGTGTGTGAAAAGAACGTGCATTATCCTCAAATGTGAAAATGTTAAACAGAAATAACCAATGTGTAAAAAATCTTAAATTTGCATGTCCTTCCAAACATAGTGGGCCCATAAAATTGCCTTTTCTTACAAAATAAAATAAAATAAAATAGCAACTACAACAACAACATGCAAACATTATCAACAAAAACATTAACAAACAAAAATTGAAATAATAACAAAGATAGCAACAGCAACAACTGCAACTGCAACAACAGAAACATCAACAAACAACAAGCAACCAACATTGCATATGCCACTCCCGCCAAATGATGTTGTTCAGTCGGATCTTCTCTTTCAAACGAACTTTTATCCCTTTGAAGTTCTTCCATTTTGGGGACACCAGCTTGCCACCACTGTTATGAATGAGTGAATGAACGAATTAATGGATGAATTAATGAATTAATGGATGAATTAATGGATGAATTAATGAATTAATGGATGAATTAATGAATTAACAGACGAGTGAATGGGTGGAGCTTGTTTATCAATAAAAATTGTAGCAGTTAATAATAAGTGCAATGGCAATAGTGAAAATATCAACAAAAATAATGATGATCACAATAAATACAGCAAATGAATAATACATGTAAAATGCACACTCAATCACGCCACACATACACACAGTATACATGCACAACAACCCTTTTAAAAGCAACAAAACATTTAAAAAATATAATGGATCGTGTACATTGTATATTTTCATTCATATGAACCAAGAACTAACGCTAACTGAAGATTAGATGAATAAAATATACTTATTTTACAAAGTTTTAGACAAATAAAAAAACTTCAAACTCTTCTGTTTTCAAAATATCAGATTTCAATATATAAATAGATAAGAGAGCGGAAAGAGAGTGAGTGAATGAGAGAGAGAGAGAGAGAGAGAGAGAGAGAGAGAGAGAGAGAGAGAGAGAGAGAAAAGAACAAATTATTTAAAAGCAGGAGACATTCAATTTTGAAAATTTATGAAAATGTATTAAATGATATTTATGTTTACAAAAAAATATACATCAAACAGAGAAAGAGAATGACAGAGACAAACAGACAAACAAAGATAGGAAGAAAAAACTCAAATAATCATTAGAAACATTGAAACTAAACTAGACTACTAAACATTTTAGCAGAGAAAGACTAGAACAGTAAAAAAAGAATATTATTCATCAATTTCAGAATATAAAATTCCACACAGACACAAATTATTGTACGAAATTTTTACTGTTACTAAATGCATCCTTAGACTATGGATGTTATAAATGTCTCATTCTTATTGCAATCAAATATAAAATATAATAACAGAAATAATATCATAAGAGATAGAACTTATTTAAACATAAAAAAAATATATTATATAAAAAAATTAATTATTAAATTAATAAATAATATAATAGCGATAGAATTTAATGAAAATTGTATAGTAATGGCCTTATACCTAATATTTATGTATATAAATATATATATATATAAGTGTGTGTGGGTGTGTGTGTGTTATTTACAGAGCACTTCAAAATGTGTACTGTGCTAACAGTATAGAGGACCCATTTGTTACTGCAGTTGCAGTGTATAAACGGATGAATAACAAAACATTTTCTCACTACTACAATAATAGAAACACAATGATGAATAATAAAAATAACAATAATAAGTAACAATAAATAATAACAATAAATGATAACAATAATAGTAATAAAAATAGCTAGTATAAAAATAACAGCAGTATTGATGGCAATTAAAATTCTTTTTAAAATGTCTGCTGTGCCTACCTGGATTTGATAGCACATGAAAGGAATTTTTTCGATTATTAGTAACAAATATTACACACAAAGACACCACACACACACACACACCACACACTCACACACATACTGACTATTACATCCAACAACAAAGATTTATATATAGCACTACGTCTAAATAAAATTTCAATTGTTCTACACTGATTCAACAAAACACAGGTTAGAGCTGTGAATACATCATACATGTGATCTGATTTGTCAGCAAATGTAGCCAGTGTCATAGGCCAATGATTCATTTTATTTAACATTAAAAATACAATCTTAAGTGCCACCCATTTAAAGATTGTAGCACAGAGAAGTACATTTAAAATGTACTGATAGAATTTCACATCCAAAACAACAATTTTTCTTTGCGATTTTGAATGTATTGTAATTTTAGTTGCACTGCAAGCTGCCTAAAATGGTGAGAGTTACGATAATTCAATCTAGTCTCAACCAGTAGTAATTGTAACTAAACTCTGTATTACGTCTGGTAAAAAACAATAGAATAAATACACACACACCACATCACACAAACACACATACACCACACATACATACACACACGCGCGCACACACAAACGTACATACATACAGCCAAACAAACACAAAAGAAATAACAACGAAACAAAAACTAAAGCCAAACAAACGCCAATTCATTCATTCACAGAAGAACATTTTTTTCAAAACATTAGGAATTCCTGAGGTAAAAAACGCAAAACAAATAATCATTATAACAACAAAACGAAGATCTACCTATCTCTTTGATACCAAACTGATACAACAAACAACATACTTCGATGGATGGTAACAAATATTTCGCATGGCATTAAAACAACATACATAAACATCTAAAAATAATTGCACAGAACAACAACAACAACAACACACGTTTAGACGGCATTTTCCCCGAGATCGGGGGTTGCCGTTTGGCTACCTATGATGAAACCGAAATACCCCTCGACTCCATCCACATCTGTCACTCGCCTCAGTATCACGCAACCCCGCTTTCACCCTGTCCTTCTCCACCTGCTCTCTCCATCCCAATCGCGGACGACCCCTTCCTACCACTCCTTCAACCTCGAACTCCAACGCTCGCCTAATCCCGACCCTTTCATCCCTTCTCAACACATGTCCATACCACCGCAATCTCGATCTCCTTATCAATGTCACAATGTCCTCATTCAGTCCCATCATTGACATCAGCTCTGTACTACTCCTCCTATCCTTCACTTTAACCCCACACATCATCCTCACCATAGCTCTTTCAGCCCTCTGCAGTAC